TCTTTCTTCAATAGCTCGGTCAATGGGCGGGCGAGTAAACCGAAATGACAGGCAAATTTGCTGTAATAGCCCTCAAAGCCCTAAAATCCCCTTAATCCTTTGAGAGTGCGAGGTTGAGGCCAAACTAACATGAACTGCACTTTTGAGAATCAACCACCATGCCCTCAGCTGAGATGATGTGCCAAAGGTATACCACTATGGATTGTCTAGCATTTCAAAGCCTTAAGTTTCAAGTTGTGACTATGCATGACCTCAAACACCGAAACCAAATGTGTGAGGTGGGTTTGGAAGTCCAGACTATAGACGAGAATATCGCCAAAGAAAACCAGGACAAATAGCCATAAAAAGGGTTTGAAGATAGAATTCATTAAGGCCTGAAAAGTGGAAGGGGCATTATAGAGCCTAAATGACATCACCAAAAACTCAAAGTGTCCATCATGTGTGTGAAATGCGGTTTTAGGGATGTCGGGCTCATACATTCTGATTTGGTGAAAACCCGATTTGAGGTCCAATTTGGAGAAAACCGTAGCACTGCAATGTTCGTCTAACAATTCATCAATGATAGAAGCGGGAAAAGGAAACTTGACCATAACCTGATTAAGGCCGCGATAATCCATACAGAATCTCCAAGTACTATCAGCCTTATGGACCAACAAAGCTAGAGAAGAAAAAAGGCTCGAGTTAGGGTGAATAATGTCGACAGTGAGCATATCATCCACCTGATGCTCAAGCTCCGCCTTCTGAACATAGGCGCAACAATATGGACGGACATTCATCAGGTGGGTGCTCGGTAACAAGATGATGCGATGATCAGTTGGCCATGTAGGGGGAAGACCCATTGGGGGCGTGAAAAGATCTTAGCAAGTGTTCAGAAGTGGCTCAAGGGACTCCCTCAAGAGGGGAGTGAGCGTGGATCGATGAGGCCATCAAGGGATCTATGTCCATCCATGAAAAGACAGAGGATGACAAGGGTAGGGTAGGAGAGGTATACGTTGATTGCAGGCCCACTAATCAATAGTTACTACCATTGACCTGAAATTCCATGATTTTGTTTTTGAAGTGCCAGCCAATATAACCTAAAGATTCCAACCATTCAGCTTTCAAAACCAAATCGCACCCAGAACTGACAAGAGTTGTATATCCGAGGAGAAAACGTATTCCTGTAATTGAATCGAGACATTGTAAGCAAGCCCTTTGGTGTAATAGATACGACCATTAGCAACCACGATGGGTTCGATATGAGAGTAATCGATGTGGAGACCAAGTCGAGTCACTATGGTGGGGTTGAGAAAGTTAAGATTGGGCTCGGAGTCCACAAAAACCCGAATGAGCAAAGTCCCAATGTGACCCACTAGGCGTATAGCACGACCACAAGTGCGTTTGGGAGAAACCAATGCGTTGAGGATGATGAGAATGGGGTCCTCCAGCGGAGTTTTATCAGGCACCGGTGGAGGGTCGTTAGTAAGTGGTTCAGAGGCGGCGTCAAGAAGTAGCAAGTAGGGGGTGGCATAGGTATGGCCGGGGTATTTATCAGGGCAATAAAGGCATTGGCACTGGGCACCACACTCACGAACTTTCGCGGGGGAGAGGTGCAGTGGTGGCCTCCCCGAAGAAGACAAAACTAGTTTGGGAGGTGGAGGTGGAGGTGGAGAAGATGACAATGAGGCAGGTGCTATAAAGTTGGGTCAGGTGAGGAAAAGGTGGAATGGGCCTTGCCAGCGTTGGTGCTTGTTGTCATAGATACGGGCCAATTTGATTGCACAGGCCAAAAAGCAAGAGCCCTGGGCTAAAATGTCATCCCAAAGTTCTCATTTAAGCCCGCCAAGGAAAACTCCTAGGAGTTGAGAGTTAGACCAACCTTGGGCTCAATAAAACAACCAAATGAAATCATTGATGTAGGCCAGCGAGTCTTTTTGAAACACATGGGAAAATGACATGTTAAAGTCCAGTTGGTCACCCCGCCTAAACCTTTGGAGAAGAGGTTCGGTAAAGACGGCCCAAAGCCCAGACCCAATGTGCAACTTGTACCATTTGAACCAAAGGACAACATTACCAGTGAAGTAGAGCCCTGCGATTGTGACCTGGTTGGTGGCGATGACCGTGTGATAATCCATATATTCCTCTGCTAGGGCCAGCCAACTGTACGGATCATCCCTAGAAAATCGGGTTAGCTCAATCTTCATGCGTTTCAGGCCAGGGGACTAGGGGAGGGGAATAAGGGACACATAGAGAGCGAGAGTAGTGGGTACCTCATGTCGGAGGCAGACCAATGGAAAGGGGTTGGGAGGGTTAGGGCAGTGGAGTGGATGTTGTACCTCGGGGAACGTGAACATAGTCGATCGGAATCTGGGAAATATGGGTTGTTGCTGGCGGCTATTACTTGGAGCCTTGGAGCTCCTCTATCAAATGACTCTGGACAAGGCTGATATAGCCAATGAAGCTTGGATGTTTGTCAAGTTCGATTGGAAGGATTCTTGGCAAGTGTCTAACAGAGACACCGAGTCGTGAAGCCCATTAAACTACTCTAGGATTTGGTGTTGTTGGTACTCCAGTTCCAGGTCGGCCTTCGTGACGTCGGCCAGTACCACGGAGGCTTTGCTTATGCCCATAGATGGCAGCAACCTGTCACTGGTACCAGATGATAGGTTCTGTGATTGAAATAGTGCAGTGGGTAAGGAAAAGAGGAAAAGAATAAACTAAGAAATTTGATTTTCATTCATGCCTTTCCAAAATGATGAAAGGAAGCTCATATACAACCCTAGAGGGGGAAATGCTCATGATTGGAACACATCTCCACTTACCCTACCATTTGATGAAACCAACACTTACAAGGAAAAGACAAAATACTAGAAAGCATAGCTGCCTAATATTCCAATATCCTAACACATTTAACCTTAAAGCATTGGGCGACAAAGTAGTCTCATAGGCATGGAGAATTTTGGCAAAGATTTATGTAGTTGGTGGAACAGGTTTCTAGGGTTCTTAGGTTTTCGGTGATGGAGCAAGAAACTGGGACAAGGTGGAGGCACGACAGATTAAGGTGGTATGGTTGGAATGGGGCATGAATTTGGCTTGTTGGTTGAATGGGTCTCTAGGGTTTTTGGTTGTGAGTGTAGAAGCCAATGAAAAAAAGAAAGAGGATTTGAGCTTTTTGGCTTAGAGGTATGTCGTAGTAAAGAGAGAAGAAGATTGAGAGGTGACTCGATGACTTGGGTCATTGAGAGAGAAAACTCTGAGTCTCTGGGAGATACAGAAAAGGAAAGTGAATGAGCATGGTTTGGAATTTAGATGGGCTTTCTCAAATTTTACTCTAATTCTTTGTTTTTTTTTGGAACTTTTATTCACTATTGGAAATGTGAGGAACCACTTTCGTCACCGAGAATACATATATGTGACCCATCTTATAATTCCTCACACATCATATTTCATTAGGGCACCATTGTTCCCCACCATATATTTTAGTAAGAACTTCAAAAAATTTGTGTCACCACTTTTTCATCTTAAAAAAAATAAAATAATAATTATAGGTGACACTTATGGTATCCATCATGTAATTCTAGATTATGTGACTCATTTATCGTCACCTAAGTGTTCTGAAATTTCTTTCCTAGCAAACTAGTCATGCATTACGCGTCTAAACAATTCGTCACATATAGAAAAAACATGTGATGAATTTTTGGGCAACACATAAAATTCGGTCACCTATTCCATGTTTTCTTGTAGTGGTTGTTGCTTGGAATTTTTCTATTGACTGAATAATTTATTTTAAAAAATGCCCTAACTCATAGGGTTTGAATTAGGTTGTCAAAAATGGAATTGAGATTGTTTTAGTGTGTAGGCTAGAGGTAAATAGATGTGTAAAATGTCTAAAATATCCTGAAGTTAACAATTCCTTAACATGAGGAGGTGAATAAGACCAAAAGAGTTGAAAATGTCAAATTTTATGAGTCAAAGTGAAACAAAACGAGTTTTAGAGGGCATTTTAATTAATAACCTATATGGTCAAATGGTCTTTGATAAAACAGCCTCTTCGTAAGGTTTGTCGGACTGAATATATAAGGACATGTTTGATATTTCATTTATTTAATTTTTTTTATTTTGAAAATTAATGAGTATTATTTTTATACGATGAACAAAAAAAAAAAAAAAAAAAAAAAAGAAAAAAAAAGAAGCTGAATCCAAAAAGAATATCAAATTCTCTATCCGCTGAAGCATTTCAAGCAATTATGTGAAACCTGCGGGCACTCTCACATTTATTTTACTCATTACCTACATTAGTAGAAAAAAGAATTAATGATGAAGCTTAACATTTAGTTGAATGAAAATAGACATTAGTTAAAATGAGCCGAAACTAAATTTTAATTGTTGGACTGACTAAAATTAAATATCAATAACATATCGCTCAAATATCAAAGATTTAGCAATAAAGATTGACAACATACCAATTATATATATATATATATATTTGAACAATTGATATTATCTACACTAAGGGAAAGAAAGTAGGCTTCGCCTCACAATGGGCTAGCAATAATGTGGTTTAAATTCGACGTTAGTGATGATTGAACCTATGACCTTTCACTTACAAGTGTTCGCTTATAAATAAAGAGAAATACTATTAGATCGTAGCAATAAGTGGCGACATACCAATCATATGTTAAACATATACTAAAAACTATCATTTTCAGCAATTAAAATTGTAAAATTATCATTTTGGTCAGTTTTGTATGAATTTATCTCTTATAGACTAAAAAATTTAGAACGTACAAATTTTGCTGGAATCATGGAGTTTGCTGAATTTTGTTTGGACTTCACTCACACAATACAGCACTTTTTTTAGAACTATAAAGCCGTTAAATATGATGAGAAAACAAACGGAATTATTATAGCAAACAATTATTCTAATTATTATATCTTATTTAGATGCGTGTAGAATGATTAATTTAGACATTGGAGTATAAAAACAACTAAAATCATTTTCATTCTTTCGTACTTGAAAATGAATATTTAACTTACCATCTCATTTTTCAAATCAATCACTCGTTCAATTTTTGGGAATCGAATTATATGATTGGACACCATACATGATATTTAATGAGGGAAATTAACTAAATAACTCAAAGCCTCAGAGATAAGTCAAGGTGGCAAATATCTTCCTCAACATTCTCAGGTCTGAGTCCACAGTTCATGTCACCGACAGGCCTACCGGCATGTCCTTGATGTACTTTCAACCCACCAAGATGTGCCTGCGGGATATCCCTTGCATGACTAGTACTTGCATCGCTGCTGCAGCTGTAATTAGATCCTGGCCGTTGGTTCATGCTACTGTGGGCTCGGGCCGCGGAGCTTAACTGCTCTCTGCTTTTCTTGGCTAATGTGCGCTCAAGTTTGTGAGCATTTTGGTGGCCCCCAAGTGCTTGAGAGCTGTAAAACTTTCTTTGGCAGTAGTTGCATGAAAACATGCGCTGGGGTTCTAATGTTGGACTGAAAGAAGATGATGAGGAAGAAGTGGATGATGGCTCCAGGACAAGTTTCAAGTTCAGTTGGTTGTTGGGTAGGTTTAGATGAAGAGAAGTATTTGGCTGAAAATCCATGAGAGAGAGAGATAGCTCGGGTTAGGGTCGGAAAGTTTGGAAAGAAAAAATGAATATTGTGATGTAGAAGGAGAGAGGGTTTGTATGGGATTATATCAAGCGTCTCAAAGCATCACCGATCCTGTAGGCATAAATAGTAAATGAACTGTTCACCAAAAAAAAAATAGTAAATGAAGTGAAATAATGTCAGCAATGTCTTAGTGTGTGTTTGTGAGAGAGAAAGAGAGAGAGAGCTGCAAACATCAGTAGGGAATCGAACGGTTGTCGCCTCCGTTAATAGCACCATTTCAATCCTTGTCGGTCCATTCAAATTAAATAGGCTTTTTAGCCAACATGATCGATTGATATAACTCTTTATTTTGATTTTTGAGATTTTAAATTGATAGAAGTGGTCTCTATATTTGTCCGCTATCAATCATTTTGGCATTTCTGTAAAAAAAAAAAAAAATCTATGTTGAACAAGGACCTAAATGACAAAAATGCTCTTAATTTAATAGCAATGGGTTAAAATGATTTGACAAAAATTGAGAGTATCTTAGTCAATTTATCCTACATTTAATAAAGATTTTTCACGGAATGACCAAAATGATTGACTGTGAACAAACTCAGAGACCACTTCTATCGATTTTAAATCTCAGAGATCAAAGTGAGAAATTATGTCAATCTCAGGGACCATTTTGAATAAAAACCAAATAAATAATTTCAAAGTATTCCTCTGTAAATAATTAATGGAAAGCAATAAAATAGAGGAAAACTAATGAAAAGGGCTTGAAAACTTTGAGTTTTAACGATAAGGACAAAATAAAGGGTAAAGTGAATAGTATCAGGATTGACTTTTTAGTATAAAAATGTGATTTTTCGTTAAAATGAATAGTACCGGAAGTTTTTCGTTAAAGTTCTCATAAAATAAAGGGTAATGTTGCAAATACTTGTATTGATAGACTAAATCTAAACTATAAATTTAGTTAACATAACTAATTAGTAATTTTTATAGGGAGCTACGTACTAGACCCACCCCTTGTCCTATTTGCCCACGCACATTATAATCTTCCCATCATAAAAAGTTGAAAAATTGAAATCCTATTTTTTCACTCACTATTATACCTTAAATAATCTCTAATATGTTATTTTTCCACCCACTATTATTCCTAGAAATTGAAATGTTATTTTTCCAACAATGAACTTCCAAATGCTATGTTTTTGTATGATTATGCACTCTAATAACTACCATTAATATCCAATCATCATCGATTGCTAGTTTCTTACCTTTTAATTAAAAAGGGCATCCACACTTATCATTCCAAAATTTCCTCTATCCTCAACCTTTTTGTCTGTTTAGCAAATTCAACTTACATATTGTACATTCACTTCACAACCCAATGTAAGTTTACGACTCCTGTTATCTTTTCGTGCCTAATATATTATTATTATTATATATTTTAAGGTCTTTATCTATCGTTTTACAAATAAGCAAACATGTAATTAAAATTTTTATTGAAAAGTGAGTGGAGAAATAAGACAATGGAGTGAGAATAATAACACTCTATTTATACTCAGACAATATAAACATATAATATTTTCCTCTTTACATCACAAGTAATTATCTTTGTTTAATGTAATGTAGTGCTTTCTGTAACTGGTGTTGATAATTTATTTACCCATCTAATCATGGGTCCAATTCCCATTGATCATTCACCATCTCCTCTTATCTCCAAGAGTTAGACATCATGCAATATCTTGTCAAGTTTCTATTATAAGTAGTAAATTGGAAACAAGATAAACCATGTTAACTAGACTAAACAAGGAACATGATAATTGATAATTAATAATCACAATGAATAATTGATGAAGTACATATGCATGCCATGGTCCATGAACCACCGTCGTGATTATTAAGAGTCCAATTAGTCCCCTTACACTGAACCCTTCAATACAAATTATACATGCAACTACGGATATGTTATTGGTCAAACTTCTCTATGTCTGGAAATCTTTAAGACTTTCATGGCTCTTTCCTTCTTATGATAGATCAACTTCAAATCAATTGCGTCAATGCATAGCATATAATATAGGCTTCATGAATTCATAAGATAATTACAACACTTTCCTGAGTTCATAAGATAATTAAATTCATGCATTATGTCTGCGGGTAGCCATTTACAAATTTGGGATTTTTAAACTTATGTTTCTGGTATGCAATAACATTTATTGGTTTCCGAGCACTCGAGGACGATATCGTGTCTGATCTTGAACTTCCGAGATACGGACAAAGACGATATGAAACTAATGGCATTAAGTAAACTACTATTGCCCGGAGGAAAGAGATCTTCTTCGGATCCCTTCCACTTAATCTATCAAGACCATAAATTCGGACATTTTAAATTGGATCCAGCGGCTAAAAATAGGAATTCACTTTTAAAATTATAATAATTTTAATTGTTAGATCAAATTTCAAAGATTCAAATTTATAACCTTGATGGATTAGGTGGAAAATATCCGGAGAAGATCCCTTTCCTTGCCTCGATACAGTGTAATTGTAATACTTATTTATGATCACCTGTAGTATCAGAGGCCCTATCTTCAACCATTTCGCTACATAACAAATCTTTATTGGACATGTTATTTATTATGTCTAATTCGTGAGAAGTATTGATTGGCCGAGTGTTGTCATTGGAACTATAAAATGATTGCAATAGAGATAATCTCCTCTAATACAGAAAATACAACTTCCCTCCATTAGGAAAATGTATTTTCATTTCACAAATGAATAAGGTTACACTTTGAGGTATATATACAACATGTGTGAGCTATCCCTGGTATAACACCTTTCTAACTAAGAAGAATCTTGTCATAACAAACTACCAGTTTTCCTTAGTCTTTAAGCATTATCCCTAGAGGATGAGTTTACATTATTGCCCTTAATATCCCCCCTTAAAGAAGCATAAATCTGGACTTGGACAGAGACTTGGTGCATATATCAGCCACTTGATCTTGAGTGCAAATAAAGTGAAGTGAGACTTGTTGTGCCAAGACCTTTTCCCGAATGTAATGATAGTCATTCTCCACATGTTTCGTCCTTGCATGAAAGATGGGATTCTTGGCAAGAGATATGGCAGAGACATTGTCACACCAAAGCTGAGGAGAACATGGTAGACGGTAGTTTATATTAGTGAGTAGTTTATAGATCCAGGTGATTTCAGAGGCAGTATTGGCAAGAGACTTATACTCGACCTCTGTAGAGGAACGAGCTACAGTTGGTTGCTTTTTAGCACTCCAATTGATGATTGAATTTCCCATGAAGATGCAATAACCCCTAGTAGAGCACTTATCCAAAGCATAATCGGCCCAATCAGCATCGGAGTAGGCCGTGATGGAAGGGGGTGAGGAGCATTTAGAAAACCAGAGGCCAAGATCAATGGTACCTTTGAGATACCTTAGTATTCTCTTAACAACTTGAAAGTGAGAAACTCAAGGAGTATGCATGAACTAACACACAAGATTGATAGCAAAGCTAAGATCTAGGCGTGTCCAAGTTAGGTACTGAAGAGCCCCAACCAAAGAGCGATACTCTGAAACATTTTCAAGCAGTGGAGAATCATGATCAAGATTAAAGGTGCTAAGTGGGGTGTTGCAAGGTTTAGCTCCAACTATGTTAGCTTTAATTAACAGATCCAAGATGTATTTTGTTTGGGATATAAAGATACTGATGGATGAGCGTTTAACCTCAATGCCAAGAAAATAGTGCAAAGCTCCAAGATCCTTTATGGAAAACATGGCACTGAGTTGCTTGATCACAGTTTGACATGTTGTAGATGAAGGACCGGTGACTGGTATATCATCCACATAAACCAGAATGAAAAATGTAGGATACTTCTTGACAAAGAGAGAGTGATCACTTTGAGAACCTACAAATCCGAAAGAATGAAGAGCAGCATGTAATTTGTCATACCAAGCTTAAAAAGCCTGTTTCAAGCCATACAATGATTTGTAAAGCTGACAGACATGATGTGGCTTGGTAGGATCTTCGAATCCTGGAGGATTCTGCATAAAAACTAATTTAGAAAGATTGCCGTGTAAAAAGGCATTACTGACATCGAGTTGATCCAGAAACGAGTCATATTGAGCAACTAAAGTGAGTAATAAGCGAATGGCTATTGGTTTAGCCACAGGGCTAAACGTTTCAGTGTAGTCAAGGCTTTACTATTGATGGAAGCCTTTTGCAACTAACCAAGCCTTGTATCGATCAATAGATCTATCAGGTTTCCGTTTGATCTGAAAAAACCATTTGCAACCTACAATCTTCTGAGAGGAATGCTGAGGAACAAAGGACCAAGTATCGGTATTAAGGAGAGCATTGAACTCCTCCTGCATAGCATGGCGCTAATAGTTGTGTTTAGAAAACCTGTAAATAGGTGGTGGGAAGGTAATCAGGTGACAAATGAGAGGGTAGTGGATGTTTAGTTGCAATGAGAGCTTTGGGCTTGTAGAAATCGGATTTAGATCAGGTTTGCATAGGATGCATGTTTAGTAGAGCTAGTGGTGGTGAAGGGTTACCAGAGATAGGTCTAGATGAAGATATAAGTGGTGAAGAAGTAATATTGGATGGAGGTTCAGATTGAGAAACATGATTAGGTGAAGGTTATTATAAACAGGTTCAGATGAAGATATAAGTGGTGATGTTGCAAACAATATAGGTAGGGAAGATAGTTCAGGAATAGAGGTAAAGGTTAAGGTCGATGGTATAGTAAAAGGAGAGATGGGAGACTGAGGTTGGACAGTAGGGAAATGATGTAAAAGTTGATGGAATGGAAGGTACACTCATTGAACAATACATGCCAAGAGATATAGATTATCCCTATTACTAGATCAAGGTATTTGTACCCCTTATGGTTGAGACTATAACCCAAGAAAACACAAGACTTGCTTTTGGGATCCAACTTAGATGAGGTATAGGGCTTTAACCATGGGAAATAGAGGCAGCCAAATATTTTCAATGTGTCCTAACTAAGCACTTTCTGGAGTAGAGACTCCTAAGGTGAACATTAATAGAAAGTAGGCAACCTATTGATAAGATACATGACAGTGGCAAATGCTTCAACCCAATATAGATGAGGGACTTTAGATGCTGCCAAAAGAGTGCGCGTAGTCTCC